AGGAGTAAATACAACTTACCTAGTCAAAAGAACTAAACCAAACGACAATTACTTTCCTCCCTACCTAACCAAAACAGGAGAAAACTAATTAAACAAAAACTCGGGCCACCCCTACATGCTCCTACATTAAACCAACATAGTGAAACAGTGAACACACGGTCTGCCGGTTGGGTTGGGCCGAGGATGAATGACCTGGCAGTCCCTGGCGGCGTCTTCTTATGCGCTGCCTCCAGGTCGTTAGCCAATGGGTACGATCCATCCACCCTGGATGCACCAATCATGGAGGAGCACCTGCACACTCAAATTTACATATTATAATTACGACAACAGTCGTAACACAGCTGTCTGAAAATCCTGCATGTCTAATCTGCTGGTTGTAAATAATTGTGACAATATCAGATATAAATAAGCATGTTTATGCATGTTTTCATTTTTTCTGACTTCAGTGTAGAAGATGATGTTTGAGGTGAGGAGGAAGAGGAAGATATTTTATTAATATGCCGGTTCAATTTTCTCTTTCTTTTGCATTTTTGCTTTTTTGGTGAAGGGGACCCCTCCCACAATCTGTAGGTACAGGCGTGAATTCAAAATCCAACTAATGGCATTTTACACATGTGGCTAAAATCCAACTAATGGCATTTTACACATGTGGCTAAAGATATATGTAAAACCCCATTAGTCAAAACAGACATGTCCGTGCTGGGGAGTGTATTCAAATAAGGCGGAGAGAAACCGCAAACCTGCTCCTGTGTATTAACATTTATGAGTACAATATCCTTTTTTTCATTAAATAACTTACTGACTGCTTACTGACTGTACCTGCAAGCTCATGGACATCTGAAGAAACCTGCCAGTACTGAAACTTGTGGGAAGTGAATATTTGGATTTTACTGCAGTTTGATTTTTAAAGCCTGAACCTGCTGCAAACATTGACCTGTTGTATTTACCTGTGCTGCTCATTTAAACCGCTGAACCTTTTCCAGCCACCGAGTCTTTTGGATTTGCCAGATATTGGCACAAAGATACGATGTTTGGTGGCAAAAGCTAACAGTCCATTCAGTGGCAGCATAAACTAAAAGTCTGTCAACCAGGAAACCATCTTGGTGCCCTGTTTTTGTACTTTGTTTTGCTTTAATTCTTCTTGTTCTTTGGTTAGGTTTGCAATAAGAAGGTATTTTGGATTCAGATGTGTTCAGTCACATCAACTCTTCATATTGGATGAAGGATTGTTTTGAAAAGTAATACCAAGGGCTCCTGACTGAGTGTGCTGTAACCGTTGCGGCACAGATTCAACAACAACAAAAAAAGCACATTCAGTATATCTTGAAGACTCCTGCAGGTTTGACAAAATAGCAGAATTTGACACCCTGGAAGCAAGGACATACTCCAAAAACCAAAGCACTGCATGACATGAAAGGGTCCAAAACCCAAAATACCTTGGAAAAAGAAGTTTGATGAAATAGCCCTGAAACAAGGTGTGCTGTCTTTTGCAAGGTGTGCTGTAGTTTTTAACCATATTCCAATCATTAGTAGAGTTTGCTCTGAAACTTCTCTGGATGTCATCAGATGTAAGCAATGAAATGAATGAGAAATTTATATATCTGGCTCTGAAGTATGGGCCTTTTTTGCTCCATCACAAGAATTGTTAACGATCCCCTTCAAACAGAGAATCTGCCTCCAAAGCTCACAGACTGCATTAAGATACAGTGAACGCAACCAAGACACAACCATTTCAAAGCAAGTCTGTAAAAAAGCTACAAAATCTGTTAATAAAATTCCACGTTCCTCACCTACTACATGAGCTACATCACCTACTAGAATCAATTAATGCAGTTCTAATTTTAGCCTGACAGGGAGAGGGGAGAAGAGAGGGAGGCTGGTGTCTGTAAGGTATGTTCAGAGTGTGGACGCTTTCTTTGTCAGGATTTGGAGAGTGCTGACACAGTGCTCACTGTAAGAACAGTGTAACTTCTGTGTCCATGCTTGTCAGTCATCTTTTGGCCAAGTTCCTGTTTCTCTTGCTGTTAGGAACTTTAAAAAGAATGACAGATATTAAATGCACACTTTTATCATCTCAATGCATCGTCACATGATCATATTTAAATAATAATAATTTACACATTTTCAAATATGGTGTGTGTGAGTGAGTGTGTGCATCTCTACCTGTTTGCATGTGGGTTTGAAAGTCCCATGCTTCTGGTTGACCCATAAAAACAAGCCATGTCCACACCATTTGCAGATTAAATACAGATTAATAAGCCCCATTCAGTTAGTGCTCAAAGCTGTTCGCGTTAAATGTAAATTACTTCTATAGAATTGTCGCAACAAACTATGACTGCAATGAATGGTATGAAAGTAAAAACAATAGATACCAGGAAAGATGAGTCAGTGACATCAGCAACAACCATGACCCTGGTAAGATGAAAGAAAAATAAACAAAAAATGATGAGAATTTAAATGTTACAAGGAAAAAATGTCAATAATAATATCTTTGACTGTTGTACGCCAAAATCTCCATCCAATGGCTGTAGCACTCCCCCTCAGCAGTGGTCTCCCACAGCAGGGTGATGCTACAAAGCCCACTGAGGAATGGTTCATATATAGAAAAATGCAGAAGAGCAAAACACCCCAAGGCTTCCAAACTTCCCATATCATAACCTTATAGAGCAACTGTGCGCTGCACCTAAACAAGCCTGATCTATGAAGGACCCCTTCCCAGAGCCAGCTTCCCTCTGCCAGTCACAACAGGACACCTCCAGAGGTGTTGTGTCCATGCCCTGATAGGTCAGAGGTGTGTTTGTGGTAGGACAGGAAAATGTCATCATATGATAAAGAATGTATAGACCCAAAATACAAACTTGGAGGCTGGAGCTAAATAAAAAGCAAACTAACCCATATTTAAAAGAAGGAATTTTCCAGCAAGTGTCAGAAAGCAAAGTCGACAAGTGGAAGAAAATAATACCCAGGAGGGAAAACCTCACAGGCAGACACAGAGAGTGAACACTGGATAAACCCTATGATGCATCAAGGTACTAAGGTGGGGAAAACACGCAACTGAAAGAAAGGGAAGCAAAACTAAACACGGTGTACGCAAGATGAGAGACTATCAAAAGGAAACCGGAAGTAGCCAAAGGCAGGAATATTTAACACAGAAACATAGACTTAACAAACACGGGAAACACAGGAGGGTGGTAAAACTGAAACTAAGAGAATTAACTGGACAATAACTATGATAGAAATTACAAATGAAACAGAGCCTGAAGGGAGAATAATGTCATGGAAAACAAACGTAGCCAGCATACGTCACTCTGTGACAAAAATAAAAAGCAAACTAAGCAGGAAACATGACAAATAAAACTAAAATGTTGAATTTGAAGCACAGGGTTGAAGACCCCCAGGGGGCTGAGCAGCATTGACTCATGGGGCTGTTTGAGTGGCTACATACATTCAGATCTCATTTCTCTCACAACAACAGACCAATATATTTTTGCTCCACTCACCAAGTGAGATATCACAGCTGCCCAGATATCTATTTTGTGCTGTCTTTAGTAAGCTTGGTTGCAGTCAATCTTCACAGGTCAGTAGCAGTCAATGGGAAAAAAACATAAACACACACACAGATGCACACACCTGCTGTTTGTAGCAGCACCGCTGACTTTGCATTTACAGTCTTTTTTTACAGCTCGCTTATTGGCTTAGCCAATGCTGACTTTGCATTTTGCAGGCAAAATGAAATAACTGTAACGCAATATGTACAAGCTATAACAATAGATTTCAGCGTCCACATACTGTATTCGAGTTATAAACCATATCAACAACCACTCCATAAGCCCTGTCAGTCATTGAAAGAATAAAAATACTTTATGGATGGTTTGTAATAGCTGTGCACAGATAAAAATCAAACTGAATTAATCACCTTAATTTATGCCAATAATCTTCAAATATGTTTCAGGGATACTCACTTTATAACTATGTTCACTATTTGTTATCAGTGACACACAGGTTATGTGTGGATTATTCAGAACAGGCTGATTACAACAGCCAATCGTTTAAATCATCATCCAATGTGACCTTGAACACCATGTCAGGCGATTTCATCAGCCTTTCTACAAAGCCTCCCAAAGGGTCCTTTACACTTGATTTAACCTGGATTTCACATGAATTTCATATCTGAGAACAGACTGTGTGATGATGCATGTCTTTTGTTTCCATCTTTGACTGTCCATATTCAATATGCATTTCTGTTGCTTCCAAACTCACATCTGTATTTAAATTCAGGGAAGGGACTAGAAGCAATTTGCTGAATTGCCTGTGAAAATATGCATTATGAAATGAAAAGAAACAAAATGAGAGAGAAATAGTGGGAGATCTTTATGGTGCTTTGTGATACATTATTCTGACAGACCAGTTTTTATTATTCAATTGAGCATGAAAATGTCCTAATTTTGTAACGCATGTGTCACCTATAGATAATCTTCATTTATATGTATTGACATAATCTCTTTTAAGCCTTTGGTGATTGCAAAAATGACCAAAGGAGGCCTCAGATTTGCAGGGCAAACGTTAGTGATTGTAGTTGCATAGCCATTGATCGTAGGCAACCTGAGAGTGGAACAATCTCTAGTGATCTGAAGCATAAACTTAGGTTTGAGTCTTCCATTCGTTTTCTCGACTGAATCATAACATTCTTCTTTGGAAATGTGGTGGTTTCTCCAAGCATCACAGGAACATTTTTCCACATGCTGGCAGGGTATTGTCATCATTCCTCGGATGAGGCAGCGTGGAAACCCTGCTTTGTCAATGCAATCTCAATATCAGTGACCTCGAACTCAAGGTAAGCTCAGAGATAAAATTTTCTAAAAATCTTGAATGTGATAAAACAAGAAGAAAGTCACCTAGGATTTTTACATTTGTGCAATAGGTTTATCTACTAAAAATCTCACATGAGTTCACATCTCGAGATCACAGGTCAAGTTTTCAGAAAATCTTTTCAACGTGATACCTCAAGAAAGATGTCACCTAGGATTTCCAAATTCATACCCTAGGCACATCTACCAGGAGGCTTAGGGGTAGCAATAGCAGCTGCCAGTGTTTTTTGTTCAGTTTTTAGACAAACCAGCGAACCATATCTTAACAGTGGTTTACCATAAAATGTGGTCCAGAAAGTCTCCTAAAGATGAATTATACTGATTTTGTTGATGCCCTGTCTGTCTCCAGATAACCTCAGTCACAGCTGAGCTGGTGCAGGACAAGCTTTACCTTCACGCTATTTAAGAACCAGATATTACATAAATTTATGTAGCAGACGTTGGGGTACTATCCATGAAACAGAATCCAGGCTGCATATGTCATCATTGAATTTTTGATCCTCAATTTATGGATCAGCAGCGTGGTGGCGTGCTGGTGTCAGCTTTTTGATACCATCCAGTTTTGTTTTGTTTCGATTCAACCAGGAAGTAACATCCTTGATTAAGATTCTGTCCTTTGAGGTATCAATGCTAACCATGCTGTATTTTCCTTCTGGTAGAAATGCATAAAACCTGTTATAGAATGGAGAGGAGAATAAAAGGTACCTGCAGGTCATCAACATGTTCATCAGCTCATCAGGTATTTAAATTCTATGTCACAATGGCCCGAAAGCTGGTACCAGAACTGGACTCAAACGCAGAAACCCAAGGCAGAGATGGCAAAATGTTTTAAACTACCACAGGTTAGACTTAACAGTACTGGGCACCAGGAGAAATGACATGCATCCATGGCGTGTGGCGTGGTGCCGAGGTCCTGGACCTAGATGGGAATGGGACTTGGAGGAGCGACTGGAGCGTGACAGGTACGGCTAGAGGTCGTACTGAGGAAAGAGGAGAACGGCGTTAGAATGGTGGAGTAGAGGAGCACTTGAAGGATATGAGTATATCTGGATGTTTACCTTACTTGTAGCTGGAGTGAAACAGGCTTTGAGGGAAAGGCGATGTGTTCGATGGTGCAGACTGGCTGACCTGAGTTCTGCAGGATCCGATATTGTGTGATGGCTGGAGGGCAGGCAGGTGAGGCTCAGAGAGATTTCCAGAGTGAGATAATTATCCAAGACGAGAAGCTGAAGCCAAAGGCAAGTGTCGTAGAGAGTCCAGAAGATCTAAGACACAGGAAAATTCGATTTTAAAAAAAAGCCAGACACTTAATAACAACAGCATGGAGGCAATTACCAACTTGGAGTAGATGACGAACTGTCAATGAAGGAGAGTCAACTAGAGCTTAAATCTCTCAGCCTGATTGCCTTGAATCAGCACCAGGTGCGTGGAGCTGCTGGAGAGGTGGAAGCCCTGCCCAGGGGCGGAGACTAGAGAAACAAAGGAACCAGGGGGAAATTTCCAGCCACTCACCCAATTCATGACACCCCAGAAACTATGCTAGAGAATTTAGTCATCCAAAGTGGTGCACTAATGCTTAAGCTTAGTTTAACTTTTTTGTATTGTTTTTTGTGGTTCTACTAACCTTTGTCATATGCTTAGGTCTGGTTCTTTCACTCATGTTTGTGCTCGTTGCCTACCCCATATTTCCACCTCTTACTAAGCCTGGACAAAGCCAACATAATTTCTTTGCTTTGGCATAATCTCAGCTCTCATTAGCACCAGCAGTACCTCACTGAGTTTCAGCCAGTTCTTCCCAACACTCTCCAGCCACTTGTCTACAGGGTACCACCAGCTGTACTTTGTACTCATGCATGTGAACAGACAACATATTATAAACGTCACTGTGTGTTAGCATGCTATAAGAAAGCTACCTTTGAGGCCTAAGTAGCCCCACTGAGTTGCTAACATAGTGGTAGACTCTTAGCATACCATTGTCCCATAAATTAGAATACTGCATCGTCATTTTAACCAGGAATTTGCATTAGAATTAAAGAGTTCCTCACAGCTAGAAAAAATGTAAATAAACTGCACAGGCTTGTGAAATGGACTCAGAAATCCAGTGGAAAACTTAAAGCAATAAATCTTAAGTATTTTGGGTTTTAGTTTAGCCACGAGTGTTATGAAATTGTCATTGATGGATGTCTGATGTTGAATATATTGCACATGTCCATACAAATCCATACATATAATCAGTATGTATGAATTTTGGACTGAGGATAATCTTGTTTGCTGTCATGTACCTGTCATCATCATCACAATATATCACAAAGATGCCGTCGCTGAAGTCAGCACAGTTAACTAAATGCTGCTTGACCAGACAAGTGTGAAAAGGTTTGCCTGTCAAAAAGATGATGGATGAGCTAGTCCATGAGGCAGAGTGGATGGGCTACAACGCATTTAAAAAGGCACTAACAGACTATGTTCTTCTGGCATGACTGGACCCTCAGATAAAAACATAAATAGTTTTGCTAAACCTGCTAATTACAGTAAAAGATGTCCAAATGCAGGCGGTTTGAATATGAATGTGAGACATATCAGTTGCAATAAAAACTGGAAACAGTTACGTTCTTAATCATATAAATGTAATTTAGCTCATATATATTTATTTGCACTTCATGACATAGAAATGAACATAACTTTTCAGGAGATGCTCATTTTTAGGGTCTTCATTAGTGCATTTGATCTAATTTAAGCTACATGGCTGTGGCTCAGAATGTAAAGCAGGGCATCTACTGGAAGGTTGGTGGTTTGCTCCCTGGTGCCTCCAGTCTGCATGTCAACGTGTCCTTGGGCGAGACACTGAACCCTGAGTTGTGCCCGATGCATTCACTGAAGTGTGAATGTTACACAGGGTGCTTAGGCATAAAAAAACGCTGTATGATTGGGTGGATGAGGCATATAGTAAAAAGCACTTTGAGTGGTTAATTAGAATAGAAAAGCACTTTATAAGCACCAGCCCATTTACTTCCTATTAAATGTTTTACTCCACCTGAAGGACTGATACATAGTTGGTGCATTATATTACTATTACTGTTAATGAAATTATTGTCACTGGGATACGGATACCGGATGACCACAATAGCACAGTTGTCTTTTAGTTCATTTCAGTTAATATACTAGAAAATTGGTTTAAGAGGGTTTAAGCACTGAAAATAAAGCATATTTAACGTCAACTTAAGACAAACAATACATGAAAAACTAATGAAACAACTTCATTTATCCTCCTTTCAGCACAAATAAGACTTGTATGTTTAATATAGTATAAAGAATTCAGATATAGGCATGGAGGGAATGCGTAATGAATTCATGCTTTATTTTAAATACATTATGCTGTGAGCTCCTGCCTCTGTGCCGATGGGAACCTTTTCAATTTGAATGTGCCCAGATAAACATAATTGCAGAATCATGTGTAGGCTCGCTCAGAGACATGGTAAATGTATCTGTGCCAGCCTGCAGCAAAAACAAACCATTTAAATGGAGTATTTCGTGGGACTGTGACATGAACAGAGTTGGCTGATGCAGCAGAAGTCCTTGAGCATGAAGCAGGAGATGAGTGTGCTCGGGGCTGCAGATGAGTTGGTCTTTCCAGTTTATTTAATGTGAGTTTAGTTAGAACAGTCGCAGAGCACAAAGGAAAAAATCTGCACTGCTGGGCTGTCTTAAATTTGTCTTGTCCACACTTTACTGATTATAGATTAAAGTGGAGGAAAAATCAGCAAGCAATGACCCTGAAACATCATATAGCGCCACATATTTGATTGCTACATTCACTGTGTGATACCTCAACAATAATTCACAAAAATATAGCATCTACATAATGTGCTGATGTAGAAGATCCAGTAGCTTCTTCTTCACGTCCTTTTTTTCACTGAATGAGTTTATACACAACTCTGTATTTAAATCATTAGTTATTATTAATTTCTGGCTTTTCCTGTTAAAATGATGTTTTTCCTTCCCACAAAGCACTTGCTCATAGAGGGTCATCAGATTGTCGGGATTTTTCTCTGATTTCTCTGTATAATTGTTGGGTCTTTACCTTATAATATAAATCACCATGAGGGAATTGTTGTTGCAGTTTGGCATTATATAAATAAAACTGAATTGACAAAACACAAAACAAAGTAGTTAGGTGATCTTTAACGTGGTGGTAACTTTTTATATGATCAACAATAAATCATCTATAACACCAGATTACTTTTTATATCGTTTTATTTCATCTTGCCACGCTCTGTCTGTGGTTTATTTACACAACAGAGTTAATTCTTTTCCTAGCTGGATAACTTTTGTCTCTGCTGCCGGTCTTTTTGATATACTGTTTGCTTATGGGCAAAGGCAACATTTCATTATTTTATCTAACAGATAAAATAAGTAAATTGTCAGTGACTTCTGAGATAACATTTAAGACCTTTTCTATATTTGCATGCAGTTTAAAAAAAGATTAACTCAAACTGCATTCAAAGGTGAAGGCCAATGGTGGTTCGGTGAAATAACAAGACCTGAGTTCAGTACTGTTTTAACCAGGGGTCCCCAATCCCAGTCCGCGAGAGCCGGTGTCCCTGCAGGTTTTAGATCTCACCCTGTGTCAACACACCTGAATCACATGATTAGTTCATTACCAGGCCTCTGGAGAACTTCAAGACATGTTGAGAAGGTAATTTATCCATTTAAATCAGCTGTGATGGATCAAGGACACATCTAAAACCTGCAGGGACACCGGCCCTCGTGGACTGGGATTGGGGACCCTTGGTTTTAACCCTCAGCTTCAGGTAACATGACTATCTGTTTACAAAGGATTTGAGTTAAAGTAGACGCTCTGTTTGGCTTTTTTTCCTGGGGTCAATACAATCTCCAGACAAGACACAAACAAGAACTACTCCCTTCTTTAACTTTACAAATATTCAAGTTCAAATAACTTTAAAGATTAAAACTTGGATAAAATTGTTAGATGTAAGAAAAGAACATGAGAAGTTTGAGATGTACCAAGGGCTCAGAGTCCAGTGGGAACTTCCAAGCTAGGTGAGTGGCTCCAGCAGATCCCAGGAATAACATCCGAGATCTCTGTCCAGAAGAGCGTAGTCCTAGGAACAGCTAGGATGCTGCACAAGACCCTCAAGCTCCCGGGCCTCTGGTAGAGGACCCGAGCTTGAAGGATAGACCGCCGCGGGGGCAAGTGGGGAATTTTTATTTTTTTATAAACTTTATTGTAAGCATGCATTTCTCAGCTTTCTTTTTAAAGAGGTTTTGCATGCATGTTACTCCCACAACTAGACTTTAACCCCCTTCAAATATCAACCACTTCTGCCTGACAGCTGTTATTTTTCCAGTGAGGCGGACCAGTGATGTACCAGTAAAACAGCAGCCCACAACACAAAAGTTACTCTTAACTCATAAAAATAAACGCACGAATGCCCTTGCTGCATACAACTTTAGCTTAATGAGCCAACAAATAATCATGTACTGGGGAGACGTCGACCACTACAGGTAGCATTTGCTGCAGACGTTCAGACGCAAGTGAAACCTGTCCAAAATAAACGTTTTCATTATCTGATTATTTTCTTGTTTCTGCAGTTTCCTAGAAAAGGGTAAAGGGGACACGAACCAATGTTTTGGTTTGAAGAATAAATTTAGAAGAATAATTTGAATTGCTTTCTTCTTTTACTCAATTCGTGGAAGCTGCTGAAAAGTGAGAAATTTGAACATTAATCCTTTTTCTGATATTTCTTTGTGGGATCAGCAGAAGCTTGGATAAAAAAGTGTTCCTCCCTTGAACTACCTCGCTGTCATTTACAATCTCTGTCTCACAGTCATGGTGCGTGGGGCGGTAATGGGAAGTGAGGCCGCATTGTTAGCTATGAATGTGTGTGTCTGCTAATCGCCTAATAATTGGATATGATGGCAGAAAGTAGGCCCGTGATGATGAATTACCGGCAGCCGAGCACTGAGCATAGCAGGTAGGTGGCAGATGCTGCAGGTGCTGAGTTGGAGAGTCTTGTGGCTTCCTGCTGGTTTTACCCACCCACAGACACACACACACGCAGATACTGGCACATGCAAAGCACACAACTGTGTCAAAGGCACACGCTACAGGTGAAGAATCTGCATATAGGCTTCACCATGACAGTCACACACCTATAGGAAGACTTCAAACGTAATGTCAGAAGGATACAGATCAGTCATAGCTTTGACACACACTCACACATTCAGACTTGCAAGTCAGTCATATGGGAAATCCACTGAAAGAGAGCTTATATAGAAGCTGCTCCCCATGCTGAGATCTATCTCATG